GCTGCATGAAGAGCAGCGGGGGCAGCCTCTCCAGGAACAGGGCCTTGACCCAGGGCGCCATGGTGTGCGTGGTGGGCGAGCGGTGGTGCACGTTGAGCACGCACACGCTGGTGACGATGGAGAAGGTGACGAGCACCATGGTGAACATGAGGTACTTGCCCACCAGGGGCACGTCCAGGGAGGTGGGCGGCACGATCTTGGAGATGAGCAGCAGGAAGACGGTGAGCGCCAGCAGCACGGAGATGCACAGGGTCATCTTCTCGCCGCAGTCGGACGGCAGGTAGAAGACCAGGATGGCCAGCGAGGTGATGAGCACGCAGGGGACGATGATGTTGATGGTGTAGAAGAGCGGCTTGCGGCGGATGATGAAGTCGTAGGTGATGTCCACGTAAGTCGAGTCGTCGGGGTTCTCGTTGCGCCGGCCTGGCAGCGCCACGATGTCCCACTCGCCGCTGGGGGTGAAGTCGTCCAGGCTGGCCACGTCGCTCTTGAGCACCAGGTCGATCTCCGTGCGGTCGTAGGTCCAGGAGCGGAACTTCATGGTGCAGTTCTGCTGGTCGAAGGGGAAGTGCTTCACTTCGATCTTGCAGGCACTCTTGTAGATGGCGGGCGGCAGCCAGAAGATGCTGCCGTCGTAGGAGACCACGGCATTGGAGTAGAAGGACACCTCATACATGCCGTCCGCACTGCCCCGGGGTGAGAGGAAGTCAGCTGCTGGCCTCAGCGCCCCTCCACCCCCACCCATCACCCCAGCCCTCACTGGGAGGAGAGGACACCCACGGCCGGAGTATCAGGTGGTAGCGCAGGAATGGCGCAAGAATGGTGTCTGGGTGGGACTGTGGGGAGAAGGCTGTTCTCTGAGGAGATCTGTGAGGCCCCTCAGAGATGAAGAACTGGAGGAAGGGGGTGAGGGACACGTCTGCTGCTGGTCATGCCTTGTGTAAGCTGTTTGCTTCACATGCGGATGGAGGAGTTGGGGGAGCCAGGGAGGCCAGAATGCGGCTCCCCGAGCAATGGAGGGGGACAGAGGGAGGTGGGAGCAAGAGATGGTCCCACCGGTGGTTTTGGATCTTGGGGGTAAGAGGGATTATTTATTATTTCAGGAGAGGGTATGGAACCTGGAGGAGAAACTGAGACCTCCATGTTCTCTGATCTTGCCTAAGCCTCCAGGAAAAGTCTATTCTTTTTTAAAAATATATATTTTTTTATTGATTTCAGAGAGGAAGGAAGAGGGAGAGAGAGAAACATCAATGGTGAGAGACAAACATTGATTGGCTGCCTCCTACATACCCCCCAGTGGGGATGGAGCCCACAACCCAGGCATGTGACCTGACGGGGAATTGAACTGTGAATCAGTTTGGGCACTGAGGGCTGTCAATCCTTATTTCTATCCCACCGCAGCTGCAAACACTGGGACTCCTGACTGGCTGAGAGGGGGCTGACCATGGGCCAATCACCTTGGCCGTCCATATACATCTCTGGTCTGGGTCTGCCTATCTGGGTAGTGACTGACTCTGTGCCAAAGAAAACATCTTCTCTATACCCAGCAGGAGCTGATCTACTTCCCCAAGACCCCTTCCTTCCCTGAGCACCGCCATGGTCTCCCCCGGCCTCCCCGTGACTCCAGCGTCACCTACTTGTTGTACAGGACCACATCTGGGAGCCAAATGTGTTTGGAAGGGAGTCGAACTTTCTTCATGTTGTCGAACTCCTCAGGCTTCCAAGTAAGGCGATAATCCTCCCATTCCTGAGAAAGGGAGAGAGGGAGGCAACTTCAACCTCTGCCCTGGGAAGGGCTCAAGATGAAGAACAGGGACAAGAGAGGGCCCATCTGGCTTGAGGAAGCTTTTTCAAGCCATCACCTTCCCACAGTGACTTCTCTGCCCAGCAAATGTGAACCATAAAATACTTTCTCATTCAATTTTAACAGCTAATCCAAGATATTAGAATCCACATTGTACAACTGAGAAGATCAATCTTGCAGAGTTTAACATGTTCAAGTCACAGAGCTGGTGAGTGGAAGAACCAAGATGCAAATCCAGTTCATTAAGACTCCAAAGTCTGTACCTTTCTGCCTCTTTTCGGGAGATTAAAGGAGGGAAAAGACACATGAAAAGAAAGGGAAAAGGAGGGAAGAGAAGACCAGGGCTGGGAAGAGCACTGACCTGGGTCAGCCAGACATTGGTGGTCATGATCTGCTCCCGCTCGTGCTGCAGGAAAGAAGAGAGGCCCTTGAGAAGGCCCTCCAGCCGTGGGGCCCACCACACCCACCATGGCTCCTCCCACCCCTCCCCACCCATG